TTAGGAAAAAACCCACAAAAACAAAACACATAACCTAAAAAAAACCAACTAACGCACATTAGTGAAACAACCTAATGCACAAGAACAGCTACAACTATTTCTCATGAAATTTACCTCAACCTACAAAGCTGTGAACATCAGCAAAGCAAAATGGGAATAACAATTTTCTGGCTCCACTTTGTTCTTTTTATATAAATGCGTTCTCTTGTTACTGAAGCCAAATATAGAGCACATGAACACACTGAAGATTATTTAGAAGGGTTCATATTTTACTCGCAATATATGCCAAGTGGATTCTGCTGCAGGGAAGGTTTTTAAAGCAAGTCCCTGTTCAGCCTTTGTACTCCACAGTTATACTGTGGGTGCCAGAACACTCCAATGTAAGCAAGTCTGGCTCCCACTGGAACTGAACTCGCAGATGCTAACCTTGAGACTTGCAGAGTTCCAAAAGACATCTGGGGAAAAAATGCTGTTAGAAGTGTACTTTGACCATCTAAATTTACAAAATTTTAACTTTTTTGCTTAACTGAGCGAGACCACTCATGTTTAAAGTACACCTTTAAATAGCTGAGAGATAAATGGGAAAACAGAGCAAGAATGTTCAACTCCTGCAGAGTAAGAGCTTGTCCTTACTGTGCAACTTCCTTTGCTTTCTTAAGTCACATTTTTCAGCAGATAAGATCAGCTTAGAGGAAGCAATGGAATACTATTTTGACTGTAGATTTAAATGAACATATGGACATTTTGGAGTAAAATAAATATAATAAATCATTAGAAAATTCATTTTCCTGTAAAATATAATGCTTGTGCAGAAATCCTGCATGTTGAAGTCCTGAAAAAAAAAAAAGGAAGTTGGAGGGTTTTATCTTAATTCAAACTAAAATTTACATTTAACACCTGATGAATACGTCCTAATACATTAGAAATTCCTGAAAACGCAGACAAATACATCATTTAATATCTACCCCAAGTTAATAGCATTTCCTAGTACAATGCCAATGGAAAACTGTGATTCCAAACACGTTCATATACCACTGAGACAACCCTGAGGGAAAAGAAATGCAGTGCTCTCTATGAGGTCCCAGCACTGCACCTTAGAGATTCACAGCCTGTGAATTCTCAAGTTCAGACACCTGCTATGAGACACAGCCATGTTATCTAATTTAATCCATCTATTTAACAATTGAATTTAAGACTAATAATGGTATTTTTCATTCCACTCCTATCAAAAGATCATTCCAAACCCTTACAGGGCCCAGAGCAACTTTCTAGTTTCTAGACTGGGTCTCCACATAAGAAACCTTTGCTTTTGTCCAAGAAATCTATTTTCCCCCTCATACAGTATTCACCCCAGAGACTTTATCAGCCCATCCCAGCTGTCCCTCTATGGATCTGCTCCAGTTTGAATGCATCATTCCTAAGCATAGGAAACTGAGTTTAGTCAGTATTTCAGATGAGGCCTTACCAGTTCCTTGTATAAGAACATTAATACATTCTTACCTCTGTCAGGAATCTTTCTCTTTCTAAACACCATCGTGAGATAGGTCTGAAGGAACTTCCTCCAGTTAGAAGAGTGATTGTTAGCACTATGTGCTAATGGGCTGATCATTATCAGATGTGCTAAATTATCAATATCAATTAGCAACCAGTAGTGAAAATGCTACTCAGTCATTGACAATTATACATCGTTTATGACCTTAAAACATCTACCACATGGAACTGGTATAGCCTGTAAAAATAATGATACATTTTTAACTGAAATTCAAGACTGTATTTTCAACTTTTGAAACCTTCACACAATTCTAAGAGAAAATATCATCTCCTTAGCAGTACAGTTACAGAACTTTGGTCCTGATTTAGCAAAGCATTTTTACATTTATGCAACTTCAGACTGGAAGCATTCCCATGTAAAGACATAGTGGGTGTCTTTACAAAACTAAAAACAACCTTAACTCGTTGCTGAACTTAATGGGTTAATACTTCAACCCGAAACTTACAAAGGACCCTCGAGACTCTTTTGCATTTAACCACCTCGGTCTCCTCTGAACGTTTATAGCTTTAAAATGCAAAAAGCAAGTATTTCGCGTATCTGCTCTCCCGTTGAATAGACATATTAAGCTGCAAGAGCTAAGCATGCGTCCTGAGCTTCCAGCATTAAGGTAGAGCTCTTCACACATTTACAGATGAGAAGTCTTCTTTTCCGTTGTTCTCCCGATGCCTTCCAAGTGCAAATAACTAACAAGAGGATCACGTGTGACCATATGCTAAATTAAGTTCGCCCAGGAGATTTCATTCATCGGTTCCCCAGAAACTGACGATTAAGCCTACACACTTGCAAGGAGATGCCATTTAATTCAAAACCACAGAGTTCATTTAAAATAAAAAATTAAGCCGAAAAAAAAGAAGAATCAACATAATCATAAAACCATTTTTCTTACCAAACAATAACAAAGGCGGAGGCTTTAAAGTCACGCCCGACCTGTTAATTTCACATTAAAGGTGCTAAACACCCGGTGCTGCTCCGCAACAACCTGTACTACAGTCCGTCTCCAAACACACCTTCTGTTAATTTGTGACACTGCATATTTTACCGCTCAAGAACTAAGAAAGCCAGCGCTGTAGAAGCTATTTACTCTGCCTTCCAGGTGCTTCATCAATGTTAAATAAGAACATATACGAGCTGCTATACAAAAACTTTACAACTCGGCGGGAAGCTGCCCCATGGGTCACGCTGATCCCTCTGAGCGCTGGCGGGAGCAGCGCCCCAGCACAGACCCCGAGAGCCGCTCGGGCCGGGCTCGCACCTTGCCCGGGGGCTCCGGGGAGGCGGCGCCGCGGCCCCGCCGTCCTTGCTCACCGCAGGCAGGGCAGAGGCGCTGCGCGGCGGCTTCACCTGCGCGGGGGTGCGGGCAGCCCGACCCTGGAGGGGTCCCACCGCCCCTCTGCCCACCCCGGCCCCCTCCCACAGGCAGGGCGCACCGAAGGGCGGCTTCAGCCTGCCTAACCCGGCGGCGGGACCCGCGCAAACTTGGCGGCGGCGCGGCACAGCCTCACCTTGATGATGCTGCTCCTCCGCGGGGTGGCCTTGGCCGCCTCCAGCAGGCAGGCGTCGGGGTCGGGCGCTGCCGCTGGCCCCAGGGTGCCGCCGGGGAAGCGCTCCGCGGTACCCACGGCCGAAACGCCGCTCCGGCGCTCCCGCCTCCTGCCCCCGGCGTCCAGGGATGCCGGCTCGGGCTCCTCTTCGGCACGGTGAGCGGCGTCAGGAGGAGCACGGCCCGCCGCCGGCTGCTCTCTGCCGCCAGCAGCCTCTGCCATCGCCCCGCCGAGCGGTGTCAACTTCTCCGGGGTGCTGAGAGGGCGGGGAGTCACACGGACAGAGGAACGGACGGCGTCCCGCGGCGCTCCTCTCACGGCACGGCGGCGGCAGCGGCAACTTTCCCCGGAGGAGCCATGTCGGTCCCCGGGGCGGAGGGTGCCCGCGGGGAACTCCGCGGAGCCAGAGGAGTGGGGTGGGGGACGCGCTCACCGCGCAGGAAGTGCGGCCACAGCCCCGCGCTGTTGTGACAGGAGCCGGGCTTATGTTGACGGACGGCGAGCTCGGCCAATCGGCGGCGCGGCCGCCCCCCGCGGCGCAGCGGCAGCCAATGGCCCTGAGGAGGGGCGTGCCCGCGGGACGCCTGGACGGGCGGTCGGGGCGGTGCGCGGGGGGCGGCCGGCGGCCGGGGCGCTGGAGGAGGACTCGTAACACCTGGTCGTCCCCGCCGCGACCTTGACGAAGAGGCCCTGTGGAGGACCGGGCTGCTTATCGGGAGTGTTCGTGCGCCGGGGCGGCCGCGGGAATGCTTCCCCGCGCGTGTTTTAGGCAGGTTTGGGCTGCCTCTGTGCCGGGGTAAAAGCAGCGTGTAGAAGGGGTGACTTAGGTTAAATATCCTGCAGTGGTAGCACCGAATTGAGGCACCGTGGTAGGAACGGGGACGCTGCCAGCGCCGGTTGTGGGGGCTGCGGCTGTCAGGGGCACCTTGAGGCTGCTGACGGCGGGCCGGCAGAGTGGATGCGAGCCGTAAGAGACAGCTCACAAAAGACATCGAAGACTCACGTTGGGCTTCCTCCGCCGCTTAAAAACGAGCCAAAAGCGAAGCAGGTTGTGCGGGGCTGCTCCGCTCGCTCCGCTCTCGGCCGCCAGCCCGGGGCGGTCCCGCTCCTGCCCTGCCCCTCACAGCCCCGGCCGGCGGCTGGCAGGGCCGACAGCGCCCCCTGGCGGCCGCGGCTCCGCTCGGTGCCCGTGCGGGGATGCAGCGGGAGCCTCAGGGAAAGGGCAGCCTTGGGAAGGGATCGTGCCAGCGTGGTGCTGCTGTCCCTTGTAATTCTTCAGGGCGTATTTAGTTATAATGAGATTATCCACGTGAACACCTCAGGAAAGGTGGGGTGGAGTGCAGCAAGGGTGAAAGCCCAGGAAAGAAGTGAGAAAAGATTATGCAGTGAGATGGAAAATAGAACGGGTAGGGCTGGGCGAGCTGGTGGTCACTGGGGATGTAGGACTATTCAAAATTACAGTATCAGCTTTAAAGGCAGTCAGGCTCTCTCAGTTCTCCCTGTTTTCTAAAGTAATTCCCTAATGAACGTGTTTGGCACCTGTTGACAGTCACGGATTAAGGAAGAGAATAAAAGAAAACCTCCTTACCTTAACCAGTCATTAGCTACTAGCAAATGCCTGGCTACAGGGCATAATTGCTACTTAAAGAATGCGAATTTATATATATATATATATATATATATATATATACACGTACACACACATAAAATATATAAATTTAGAATTCCATGTTTAAAAAGGTCTACAACGTCTGTCTAGGGTATTGAGGCACTTATCATATTCAACACCAAGAAATTTTGAGGGACAGATCTAGATACTACTGAACTTTTTTCATTAGCTTCCTTCTAAATTTTATGTTAAAAAGGTAAAAATACATGTTTGCCACAGTTATTTTGCTTTGTTTCAGAGAAAAAAAAGTCACAAAATAAGTAACACTAAAAGAAAATTGAAAATATTCACATTGAAGAAACATTTATGGAGAGAACAGACTCTAAGGGAATGAAGGATTGTACAATCATACCAAGTCAGTGCAACAAAGAGGAGAGGAAACACCCCAAACCAATTAAAAAAATGTATTATGTATCCACAGACTGACCTAAGAAGACTAATTTAAAGACAACAGAGAAGGTAATTACCATTAAGTGTTTTAATAGAGGGAATTAGTGCTTCATGTAGAAATATGTTGCAGATCTTTCCTGTATGTTGTGAAATCATGCCAAATTTAATAATTGGTTTAACTATTTGGGAACAACACAGTGCTGTCATAGTTGAAGTCTGCATCTACCAAAAACTCTGCAGTGTGTTGCACAGACAGATATGTATAACTTACTAAAGAACTTTATCCTTCCTAGGATACGTTTTACACATTTAAGATTAGAGAGAGATTTATTGTCAAACAAATTGTCTTCTGACATCAAAGGTTTAAAACCTTTTAATTCTACCCTTATATCACAACCTTTGACGCCTGAAGTCTTCAACTGGAAAAGGTCTACAGGGATTCTACAGATTTTAAGTTTCATGAAAATCAAACCTACAGGCAACACTGGACAAATTGTATTTTTTATCTGTTTGTCCACAAGATGCACACGTTTTAGAATTATGTATGGTACAGCTAAGTGAGGGTTTAGTTAAATTCTTCTGTAGAAAAGAATAAAAGGTTGTCTGTTTTTCTGACTGCATCTCTAGATGCTTCTGAGGCATCTGCATTTATCTGCTTTTCTTTGTAGGGAACCATGAATTATGAAGGAAAAGAGCAATTGGTTTTGATACTACTTGATGTCTAGTAAAAAAGAGAGCTGATAAAAAGAAGGTCTACAGTAAAAGTGCTTGCACAAAAAGTTTAAAGAAAGCAAGATTGGTTGGTGATAAGTGTATATAACAGGTTCTGTGTTCAGTTTCATGCATGCCCCTGTACAAAGATACTGCTGTGTTGTCCATACCTACTTCAGATAGGAACAGATTTTTGAGAAGAGTCAAGGAGTTCAACTAAGAAAGGTAAGGTAGTTAAAAACATCTATGTGTTTGTCTGAACATAAGTCAGCAAGTGCCTGCAATATCTATTTTAATGTGGATTTTTTTTACACTCATTTTGCTTCATCTCCATCCTTAAGGCACACAATTGTTCCTCAGTGGGCGCAGTTTGTATCATAAACTGGCTGAAAATACAGTTGTCTTGGAGCTGTGCTGAAGCACAGCTTGCATAAGCCAGTACTTGTACCTAGACATTGCATTTTGGGAATGCCTTAAAATTAAGTGTTCTGCTGGGAGCCAAAAGTGGTTCTCCTGTACCAATTGAACAGGGCTGATGAAGTGTGAAAACTGACAGATTTTCTTGTGTGATGAACATCTAGTTCACATGGCAGGGAAAACAATGGGGAAAAAGGTTTGATTTCTTCACAAATGCATTCACACTGACAGCAACTCATAACCAATTTTAGCATTGATGAGACTTAGGCAAAGCTATTGATGAGAAAATATTTTTCTAGATAGTTCTTAAAGAAGTGATTTTTTTAAAGCCTTAGCAGTTATTGTGTCTCCGCTGTTACATCATGAACGTGATATTATAATGATATAATTTATTTATACAAATATGTACTTGTTGCTAAGTTTCACTCCCATTTTGGCAAAGCAACCCCAAGTCATGTTTTTGCCTTTAAAGCTATAATTAAGCTTCTGGGCTGGGTAAAAAATGCAATGTAAAAAAATGCAACTGCAAAATGCAGTGTAAAGCAAATGTAGTTAAATCTTCATTTTAAAACATACTGCATATGTTTTCAATTTTTATATTTTAAATATATTTACACACACACATTGATTCAATGCTTCCTTTTTTTTTTTTGTTAATTCTTGTTTTGTCTTGCTTCCTAGATCTTTGAAAAAGCTTCACTGTACTTGCACATCACACTGTATCTTCTAGGTAGTATAAATGTTGTGTCTTCTCTAACTTAACAGGAGAGGCTTTTGTGATATGCCTCTATCTTAATTATGTTCTTATTCCAGATGAAGTCACTGATGAGGTCTTTTCAGTCTGCTGATACTTTCAGGCAAATCCAGTGTTTTTAATAATTAAAATGCTGTTGTTATAGAAGATTCCTGCCAATTCTTAGCTCTGAGGAATAATCCTTTATTTTAGGAGTATTGTTTTCCCCAAAGATATACCAATTAAGTGTGAGAAATGGTAAAATCAGGACCTCAAATTAGATCATATTTGATCCTATTTTACAGCCTCTGCTTACTATATAGACACAGGCCCAAGCCTGAGTGTAGCCTAGATTAGGTAAAGCCTGGAATGAAAAGGGGGATAAAATCTGAGATAGATTTTGTAAACTGTCATAGCAGATAGCAACACTTGAACCATATTTTCTAGACAGGAAAGGGTAGATTCCTGGTAAGAAAGCAATTCTTCCACTAAATTTGGTACCAGGTATAAAGAAGAAAGTGACATTAGAAATTTTTAAGGGAGAACGGTAAAATACCTTATTTGGTTTTGTAATTAACTAACCATTTTTTTTCCAATCTGATTTTCAAGGGTGGATGTTTGCCAAGAATTAAGTTCATTTACATGAGGATTCATGTCATAAGTCACACCCATCTTCAGATTTTTGGCCACGGTGATTGAAGTTTGAGAAGATAACGAGTAACTGAAAAAAAGGTTTTTAGCGGACAGCCTGAGATAATCCCAGAAGTCATGCTACAATCTAGGTAAAAAGGAGTTTATTCATTTGTGCAAACAGTGAAGCTTTCTCAAGCTGCCCATGTTTAGTTTTTGCCTAGTTTTTAGAGAGGGAAGAGAAGGCATGTTATATATATTATAGCAGAAATTTTCTTGAGGATTTGAAGGAGTCTTAAAGATGAATTCTTATTCAAGTCTAATGATAATAATAATGACTCTTGTTTAAGGTAGGTGTAATTCCACTTAATGAGAACATTTACCAATGACTGTTTTTCACAGAGTTCTTTTTAACTCCTGATCATTGCTTTTAGTATTTCTTCAGCTGTGACACACACATAGAAATTTAATTGTAGTTGTTGCTAACTTTTAGGCTATGTGAACCTGTTAACTACTGTGAAGAGTAGGATCCAATAGATGTATGAACAATTTCCTCCATTCTTTGGTAATTACTTAAGAGTAGGTTCAAGTGTACTGTGTACCTTGCTAGCTCAATGGATATATTCAGTGCTAGAAATGTACATGGCACCCACACACTTTATCCTGCAATTTTTTGGGATTATTTGGCTTATCATGAACTGCACAGTTGCTGGGGAAGCAGCATTAGCTTTAAATGATACCTATAAGCCAGGAATTCATCCTACTAAGGATAGAAAGTATTCTGGTAATATTCTAGTTCAAAAGCTACCCTTACAGTCTCTAATCTTACTACCTCAGAAGGAAATTGCTACCAACATCAGCAGGAGTCATATTCATATCTACTTTGTAGTTAGAGTTTTGAGAAAATCTGGTCAATATACCAAGAATGGAATTTACGTTATTCTTCTGTCTGTTAATCATACAACCTTCCTCATTGCCTAACTAGTTTTGGACATAAGTTAATAATGAGCATCCTGGTCCATTGAGGTGCTATGCAGTAGCCTAACCACCAGGAGAAAAAGAATTCATTTAAATTCTTTCTGCAGGGTCCTGACAAGGATGTGAGGGAAAGTATCAAATAACCCAATAGCAGTGGGTCTGCGTGGGGAGGGTGTTGGTGATGAGAGCTTGAAATTCTTTCCATTTCAGGTGCTTGTACAGGTCCAGTCTCAAGCATAGAAGATCTGCACATTGGAGAAGAGAACGACAGCTCATGGTTTCAACTGAGAGGTCAGTTTGCACTCAGAAACTACTCCATGATGTGAACCAAGTTGCTAAATTAGGATAATCCAGAGATTTGCTTCAAAACTGCCCCTTGATCCAAACAAAAATGCTGAAAAAGATGCACCAGATGAATCAAGTAAGTGTTAAAAGTACATTGCTGTCTTTAGATCACCTGTGCCTGACTGGCCTCACAAAGAAAGAGCTATACTCACATACGCCTCATGTCAAAGAAAGCTGGTTTCCTGTGAAAAAAGTCAAGACAGTATTTCCCAGCAATATTTCTGACAGCTTCTACACTGATTTAAAGTGGTAGTATGTGCAAACAGAGAAAAGATAGCCTGTAAAGTCTTCCTTTTTAAAATTAAGCTAAAATTATATGCAGGCTGGTCTAGTCCTTGGTACCACTTCCAAACACAGGGTTACATGAATTTGAAAACTGCTAAAAACATTTTATGTTTAGTTCTTTTTCATATGTGTAAAGTTGGCCCCTCTCTCTCACTCATTAGGAAAAGTCACCTCAAAAAAAAAAAATCTGATTATGATCACAATGTAACCCTCAAAATAACTGAAATTCCTCTGGTATTAATTGAACAGGATTTTAAGAAGATTAAAAATATTTTCCATCAGGGATGAACTGTACTTAATCTTTTATTGCAAAATCTCATGTTCCTTAATGTCAGGTTAGAAGGATGTGGAAAAAAAAAAAAAAGCTTAATGACTAATCTAAGTAAGCCTATTTTCCTGAAATTTGCCACTGTGGGAGTATAACATGCAGAAATTGGAAGAATTGTTAATCACTGTTTATCTGTGTCTTTGCTGAGTGGGGTTCAATCAGCTGTTGGTTAAAATCTATATGCTATCCTAACTCCCACTGTACTTTACATCAGGATTAGCACAACTGAAGCATTCTGCAAACACAAGGCCAGGAGTGTTTTTCTCCCAAATACACAGATTTACAGACTAATCACTAACAAAATATGTTGGGCAAACTTAGATTCACCTGTTTGCTTTGTGGTTTGGAAGAATCCTCTCATTCTAACCACTTACCCTCTTTTCATCTCATCCTAGAGGTACAATCAGACTTGGTAGCAAGATCTGGGAGATTCAGGTGTATTAACTCTTCAGGCTATGCAGATGCCAAAAGGCAACAGAGCTTTTCTCATAGATACTTTGCATGTTTGATGGTCAAAGATGCCAAGAAATGGTTTTATGAGCAGATATTATACACAATGAGCCTCAGTGAGCCATACTTGAACATAGCACTTTTCAAAGGTTTGTGATTTGGGGGACAATAGGAAAAAACTAAGGAAGAAGGGGAGAATGATGTCTCTTGTTTTATAAATCCCAAGGTCCATAGTGTGGGCCAAAATTTACACTACATTATTTCCTGTGAGCCACTACAAATAAAACAAAATGAATTTAAATTATCTATTTGTCCAAACACTTAAACCCCCTTGAACTGAATGGGAAGAAAAAGGTAAACATTTCAGAGCTCACAGATGCCCTGAGCCTGTATTTTACCAAACGTAGGAAAAAGAGTGAATTGTAAATTGAGCAAAATAATACAGAAACAAAGCATAAAAATCCTGTAATCACTCACACAGATAAGTGATCTCATAGAGCTAGATTCTAACTGAAACAATATGGAAAAACCTCTTCAAATTCAGTGTTAAGTAGAAAAAGATTAGCAATCCGTTTTAAAAATCAATGCTTTCAGTTCTTCCTATGTATCTACTAATTGTTTTTGAATAAGGGGGACAGAGACAAGAGGAAATGAGCAGGAATGTTGTTAGGGCAACCAGAAACAAAGTAGGAGCTAGAGATAAAGGTTAGAGAGAATGGTGGAATCTGGGAGGGAGTGAGAAGTCACAGCTCATAGAGGAGAGAGATGTGCCCAACCCAAGAAAGGGAATGCTGTGGGAAAAGGGCCTGCAATATGGAAATATATAAGAGAAATACACCCATTTGAATAAATGGAAAACTTAGCAGAAATGAGTAACTTCTGCATTTTCCACATAGCACTGACCATAACTTGGACACAGAAGAACTTCTTAGGTGACCACCATCAGTGTTAACTGCCTCAAGAGGTCTTCTCCAAGTCCTTGAATACCTAAGAGATCTTGGGTTTTTCAGTTTGAGCTCAGGGTGTAGAGAATCCAGTCACAAGCTCGTAAGAGAAATCAGTGTGTACATCTTCATAAGATACATATTTTTATTTTTTTCTTTTAATGCAATTGTGTATGCAACAGAGACAGAAGCCAATCTTCTAGCAACATCCTAAGAAACATTGTTATGAACTTCAGAGCAGGAAGTAAGTAATCTTTCATCAGGTACACCTTCTGACCAAGGATATATTAATGCTTAAATTTCCATTAAAGGATCTTAAAAGGCTGGTGGGAAAACTACAGTTGTTATCCACAGATAAAAATAATAGTAGCAAAAATGGTAGCATATCTTTTCAAGGTCAGTGAATCAGTGAAATAGCAATTTCTTGTAAGGCCCATGTATTACTCATAAAATATACTTGTCTTTTTCTGCCTGGAGAGTTATTTTCCTCCTCCCAATTAATTTTTTCTGCCTATTTTTCTCTCTTGCTTTTTCTTTGGTTTATTTTTCCTCACTTAACCTCCTTCTCTGATGCTAAAAGAAGGACAAAAGGTGAAAACCTACAGGAACCAGCATAGTCAGACTCTTGTCTTTTACTGCCTTTTACTGTCCAGCACTGCCTTTTAATTTGTGGGAGAGAACAGCAGGGGAGATCATTTCGTGCTGTATATATTGCTGACATGTGGAATCAGGAAAAACAGTTGCACTTCTGACTTCCTTTGAGAGTGGCTCCCTCAGCCTGGAAACAATTCCTTTAATGAAGCAGCCATGCAGCACCAGGGTAGCCCAGCAGCCTTTGTTGTGATATTCAAATCTTGTATGCATGGCAGTATTTTATACCAGCTCTACTCCTAATCTTGCTACATTTATAGGTCTGTTGAATTTTCAGGTTTTAAAGCATCACAGCAAAAAACAGCTCAGTCTTTCTCATTTATTTCGAAAAGTCCCGTTTTTGTCACAACTGTCTTATTTTAAATGTAAATGTCCCAGATTTGGGTTTTTTAACTAAAGGACAAGGTATAATGTAGAAGATACAACAATTAAAACTGTAAAATACACTTTCATGTCTCTGAATGTTTGTTTATTCTTTCAGCTGTTCTCACTTTAAATTCTCCAAATCAAGATATGAAGCACATGAAGGGCTTGGGCTATTCTGCCTTTCACATCATTAAAACGTAGTGCTGTTCTCAGGATAAGCTTTGTTGCTTTCTGATAAATATTCATAAAATGAATGCAATTCAGCAGAGTTCTATAATCTCACAAAATAAGTGCTTTTAAAAAAATCCTATCAGCTCTGCTAAAATTGCCCTTATTTTTATACTGTTGTCTCAGCTAAAAAAAAAAAACAAAAAAGAGAGTAAGAGTTAAGCATTATATTGTTGCATATTACACACACAGAATTATTAGAAACTTTTCTAGGATTGTGTGTTTTTATTCTGTGTGATAAGAGTAATGTTGCAGAAACTGATAGGTGTTGAAGCAACACCAAAAAATTAAGGAGCAGCGTAGAGTCCCATAGGGACTGCAAGTCTGCTGTGCCTCAGGGAGTCTTACATGATGTGAAGGGCTGTTTGGTTTAGGTGGGATTGGTATAATTTGCATAAAGCAGAATACAAATATTTGAGTTCAACTGAAATATAAGGTAGACATTGTCAAGATGCTCTTCCTTGAAGTCTTTATTTTAAAGCACTGAGAAAACATAAACCATGAGAGTAACTGTTATCATTATATTACAAAGGTTCTGTTGTCATTATATTACATTGCTAGAGTTTCATACCTCCTTGATGTTTCTCATAGACAGCTCCTCTAGGCACTGACTCTTCCTTGTCCTCACAGTAGCCAACTGACTGCAGGTCCCCTTAACCAACCAATCTACTCTTTTGTAACACTCTTCTTATTGGCTGCAGTTTTGGCCTGTTAACATCAGGCCTGCTCCTAATCTTTAATAACTGCCTCAGCAGCAACTCTTTATGGGGTAAGATAGCATTCCATACTACTTTTTTTTACTTATATTCTCTGCCCCTATAAGTAACTAATTATAGTAGTGAGCTTGATATTGAGTCTCAGGGTGACTTAGCCTGTGCATGTTTGATCACTTTGAAAAAGTTTTTCCTCTGGTGTGGTTCTTTCAGCATACATTTGTCTGAATATCAGCTCCTGCTGTCATCAGATCAAAGATTTTTGTCAGGCTGCACCTTCGTACCTGTATTGATTATGAGTTTGGCATTTGAATGACTTTTTTTTTCAGACCTGTTTAATACCAGAGATATTCTAAGGGCAAAATGCATTTGCAGGCAGGATGAAATAATGCAACAGGAGAGCAGGTTGTAGTGCTGTTCAGTAAATGACCACAGAAGTACACTTGACACAAGCATTACTATTGGTGCTTCTCCTCCAGTTCAGTAAGAGCAGAAAAAAGAATATTTTGAGTTGGAGTATTTTGGGGAGTGGTCATTAATGTGCTATTTTCCAGCTCTCTTGACCAGACCAGAAATTTTGTCTCCAAGGTCATCCCAGACCCATAGCTGTTTTCAAGCTAGCCAGCCTACTCAAGAGTCTTTTGGGAGCCCTAGGAAGATTCTTTGAGTTGAAATAGGACTTTTACTTCACATTGATGGCTGTTCAGCCTAAACTATGTTCTGACCTCCATCAAGTATGGCCTGGTAAGCCAAACACAGGTAACTGCCTCCCTGGGCATTTTTGGTTTTCTCCCACAGAGGCCAGATGAAATGTGTTACCCTGTTTTCCTCCCTGTTTCACACACTAGTTGGGAGGATAAACCCAGCTGGGATTTGCCTCCCCAGGTGATGCGGAAATTGCTGGGGGGAGGTTCCTGGGCTGACTCAGCGCTTCAAAGCACGGTTCCGAGGGGTAGTACGGATACCTCCTCAGAGCTACCACCGCGGGGAGCCAGCCAGGACCACCCGCCCCACCCTGCCGGTGCCACGGTACTCGGGGAGGGGAGCGCAGAGCAGCCGGGACGCCCGACACCCGCCGGGACATCGGCACAAGCGGCCGGGGCACTGGAGCGGCCGCGAGCCGCCCGCCCCGGGAGGCGCGGGGGGACCGGCAGCGCCAGGGCCTTGAGGCGAGGGGGTGCCGGGACAGAAGCACGCCCGGCCGCCCCGTCGTAGCGTTCCCGTGAAAGTACTCGGGGGCTGCAGAGATTTGGGGAAGGGGAGATTTCTCCGCGGAAGGTGGGCTGAGGCGTGTAAGGAAAGGCTCCCTCCATCGTGCTGAGCGCTGTGCTCACGTCGCCGCCAGGCTCCGCCTCCCCCGCCCGTTGCAGGCCCGTCCCCCGCGGGCGCGCGTCAGCGGGACGCGAGGCGGAGCTGAGGAGCGCGACGCGTGCCGGGAACGTGCTGGGGGCCGAGGCGGCTGCGAGGACCGATGGATCCCGAGGGCGCGGTGAGGAGCCTGGCGGGGCCGCGGGGCCCGGCAGCCGCCCCGGAGGGCGGGAGGGCGGGCGGGCAGCGGGGCCGTCCCGCTGGGGCGCCCCGGCTCGCGGCCGCCCGCGCGGGGCCGCCATTTTGTCAGTGGCGGCCTCAGGCTGTGGAGAAGGCGCTGGCGGCCCCGGTGTGCGGGACACGGTGCCGGGGCAACGGGGTCTGGCTCAGACCTTACAGCACACGGGCTCCGGAAAGCAGAGGTGTTTAGGGAGAGAAGTGCGCTTAATCACCAGGCCTTCGTGGAGTTAGGTTGTCTGACTGGGAGTCTGCTCAGTGTAAAGTGAATGTTGCGATTCTGCTAACGAACAGTTGCCAGACGCACTAAGTAATCGATAAAAATATCGATGGATGTAAATATCCGTATTAATTGGGGAAATTGATAAAAAGGAAGTTTACAAAACAGTAGAAACAAATATTTATTTAGGCAAGTGATGTGCTGATGGCACATATTTGGTCTTTTTAATACTGTTTTCTTATTGCCACGCTGATGATGAAGAAGTGGTTATCGCAATACAGATTTTAACATGTGATACTTTAAACTCACTGGGATTTACCGTATTTACTATTGTGACTTCATAAGTGGTGTGTTTAATTCCTTGTTTCTTCCGTTGGGGTATTTGCGTTTGTAGCCTCTTTTAACGTGTCAGCTCTTAAAATGTATACAGAGAAAATGCAGTTTGGGCTCTTGGAGGTAAGGAATACATTTTGGCTGTGTTGTCAACTGTTTGTTGTTATAGTTGAATCCAGAAGTTTTCGTGCTGAACACAGTTGCCAGATGATGTACATTGGAAATTGCTGAGAGAAGTGGAGACTGTAACCTGTTTTGTCTCGGAGGAGTTTTTTGCTGTAAAAACATATCCTCTTGGGGACTATAGTGACTGTGCTAGTTCCGTGCCTGCTAGAGGTGGGGTTTGTTCAGGTTAGTACTCTAGAGTAGTATTCCCAGTAGGAGATGCGTACTGGATTCTCTTGAACAGATCAGGTTAACAGCCCCAGGCTTTCCTCTTCCCCAGGTGTGTGTGTTTTAGTACGCTCGGAAAGGACTTGTGTCTTGTCTAAAACTGAAATTGCATGAACTTAGCTGCATTTATTGTCTTTAAGATATCCACAATGATATCATTAACCCATTACTTAGAATTAGTAGGAGTAACTGTTAAGTAGCTAAAAAAGTATTAAATAATCCTATTCGAGAAATCAGTGACAATACTACATGGCTGCTTTCCAGCTATCATCTTCACAGTTAGGGTTGACTTTGTAAGGCAGTGTTATTTTGTTTTGAAAAGAGTTTACAGTTAAATTGTTTCACAGTTCACAAGTGTAAGCATGCTGGAACTTAAAACATCAGGCAGGCTCCACCAAATAATGGTTTCCATGACATCCCATTGTGTTATGCTCTTTTACTGGAGCAAGAGCAATCTGGTTGTTCTTCTGCGGAGGGAATTTCTGTTCAGACCACTGTGTTGTGTTTGTAGGCCGAGAGGGTGTTGAATTAAAATACCAGTTTGCAAGACCTGTTCTCATCCAGTCTGTGGAGATTATTGATTTCCTGTGGTGGAATTATGGCTGCTCAGCACTTGGAAAATTAATCAGAGGCTGTTGCAGAGAGTAGAGTTGTGTAGATGTTTGTGAGAGCACAGATGGAGTTTAAAATTTCTATTCTGTATAGGTTGAAAAGGGCTTCTAGCAGAGCAAAGATACGTTGTATAATAGAATTCATAACGTGAAATTTATGCAGCAGGGTGCTTTGCAAGTTGAACCAAGATTGGTGTTTTGTTTGGAAGTGTTTAACATTGGACTTCAGACCATGGTGTATTCACCAAGTTACTGAATTGATTAAGATTGAGCTTGTGTTTAAACACTGAGCCACATTCTGAATAAAAATACATGATTAATGTTCAGCATCTGCTGTGCCTTCTGAAAAATTCTGTATGTATTGAATGTTAAGAGTTGTTTAATTTACTGATAAGTAATGAGTAAGATTTTGAAAATGTTTTCTTTCAATCAGCAGGCCACTGATCAGATGCAAACAGAATCTTTACCTTCATGTCCCAACACTGTGTCACCGGTGAGGTTAAACAATCTGATCGGCTCTCCAAGGTTCGGTACAGTCACTCCAAATCGTGTCTTTGTTGGAGGAATTGATTTTAAGGTATTCTTCCCTCTTTTTGCTGCTAAATTATAATTTATAACAGTATAAAAATCAACAAGGAGAAAAGAGACACATTCATGTGTATTTGTTTTGCTGGTAAGTCCTCTTCACTTTAATAGCCAAACCTACAGTAGAGAATAAAGCTTTAAGCCTTGGTTTCCTTAACAGTCCTACAAAGTTGGCTCTGTACACTTAGCTGCTAGAAGCTTTTCACACACCACTTGTTCAGAGTTTTCTTTTTTCAAAAAAAAATAGCTTTGTTATCAGCAGAGCTGATGGAAGAAAAACATGTAGAACGTTTTGTTTATGTATACCACTTAGTGTGATTTAATAAACTGTCACAATGTTTCATATGACCAGTGAAGAAAACCTCCCTGGCTTGTTTCTCTAACACCTCTGGTTCACACAAATAATTACAGTGTGTAAATTGCTCACCATAGTAATTTTCTTAAAGGCAAGAGTTTGTTTTTAAAAGAAGTGTGTAAGCTTCTCTGGGTAATTTGCAGTATTGATCTTAATTCTTAGAATGCT